ATTATATTAAAAAAAAAAAATACTGTGAAACATAGTTGGAAAAAAAATGAAAAAATATTTGGGATTGTCATATGAAGGACAAAACAGAATCATAAAAGATAGAATGACTACATATCAGAATAATCCATTTCTCTGATATTCATACACATACCACAATTTTTTATGTACATATGCTTTTACAAAGCTGGAAATACACAATTAAATCTATATGCAGCAGATGTAATTGCACTAAGGTATTTATGGATTGTTTATATCTTGGTTATTTTCTCTGACACCTGACAAGCTGTGTGAAGTTAATTCCAAACCACACTTCTCTTCAATGAGCACACCAAAGTAGGTTTCTTCTGCTACCAGTTGTAGTCAGAAGTCAGCACATAGATATTAAACCTGCACAAAATGTTTTTGAGACTTTTTTCACTTTTCAACAGATTGCAACCTTCCAAATTTAAAGCAAATAAAACAAAGTATTAGATCGTTTAGCTACACACTTCTATATAACACATTTTAAGCATCTTAGGCACTGTCTTTAGTTATTTGAGTATTAATTTAAATTTTCCAACTCCTTTGTTGCTAAGATATAGGAAAGGAGTCATGGCACTTATGAATACCTCTGTTATCTGGGTATTCAAGTATTTGTCTCATCAAAGGTGACTCTCTCACACTTTTTTAGAAAGACTAGAAAGAAGATGCTATTTGAATTGCAGTAGGACAAGTTCAGCTTAACTGTCTGCATTAGCATGTAGCAGGACTGTATTTGAGGTAAGACATTTAAACCCTTCATTAGAAAGAAAATTCAATGTAGAAAAATTAGCAGAATTAAATTATATTTCTTTTTACAGATCACAGAAAAAATTAGGCATAAATGACAGCCAAGGAGCAAGACTACATAAGACAAATCTAAAGCTGTTTTAAAAGGCTGCCATTTATTCCTTCAAAATGTATTCACCCCAGGTCTTCTGGCATTTTTTGGGAACAAACACTTTTCATCATCATACACACGCAGTGATGCCCAGAGGTGCACACTGTAGCACTCACTCTTAATCCACTGCCCTCTGCGCTTTTCCAGCCACCTCTCCACCCCAAGGTTTACGCATCATCCAGACCTCTGGCTCCGAAAAGCTTTTGGATTCACCTTTCTGTACTTGCGCTCCACTTCTTTACCCTAGGTTCCTCCCCAGGCATTGAATGGCAAGATCTCACCTTGACGGCAAAGAGCCACGTGGGCCTAGTTTGCACTCTGAGCTAACTGCATAACGTAAAGTGGAAAAGCACTCCCTGGAGCAACAAACAAGTTCATGGGATGGCTCAAGGCAGGTTCACCCCTGATGTGTCATTTTTGCAGGGAGACACTGGCACACCTTTTCTTCATGCGTGCCATGCTGCAGCCCCTGTGGCAACATTTCTCTCACCTATTTTTACCCTTTCTTATTCAAGACCACACCAAGTCCTGAGACTTACCCATCAACATCCATAAGCCCTGGCCAAAACTGCAGTCCATGGCCCTTGGAGATGCAAGCTTGACAGGTGACCCATTTTTAATTCCTTGTCCCACCACACCTCTAGGAAGCGCACCCTGGCCATCATACACCAGCTCTGCAGGCACTTTCAGGATGTGCTGAGTGCTATTGGAGATGTTCTGCACTAGTTCCTACTTCCCTATTATTTTCTTGTTTTGTGCATTTTTGTCCCTCAGCCCCCTTCCTTCTCTCATTTGTCATCCACTGTAATTATTAGGTTTTGTCTTTCTGTACCTTACCCTCTGTTTTATTCTTCTATTTTTTTTTTAAACCAGAGACATATTAAGGCTTCTAGAATGTTCTGGTTTCTCTGCAATAAATAAAAATCAATAGAAGCAGTGGCCATGAGGGACAGGGTTGCTGCCCCTGCACATCTGTGGCGCAATGAGACAGGACATCTGATCCTGCAGTACTGCTCCTGTGCTGCCTTCTATGCCCCAGGGGAGATGTGTACAGCACACTGTACCACCAGTGCCACCACTGCATCATCTCTGCTGCCATCATTCCCACCACTGCTGCTGCTATCCCAGTCCCCTCTGCCCCAGAATGTGTGGAGCTGCAGCAGGGCACCACTGCCCACACCTGGCAGCCAGACCCACAGGAGGGGAAGGGTGGGAAGGGCTGTTTGATGGCACCAGCTGCTATTCCTGGGATAAGGATGAGCAACCTTGGGCAGATCTGCTGTCTGTTGCCAATTTCAATCTGCAAGTATGCTCTAGGGAAGTCTGCGAAGTACTGTTACAAATTACATATCAAGTTTGTGCACACAAAAAAAAGCCCCAACAAACCAAACCCCAAATAGGTCAGTAATATATAATGAAGCTTCCAGATAGAAGTGGCACATTTGTCACACTGAAATCACTATTGATGCCGAGAGGGACTTCTGTAACAAAAAGCCATATGAAATAAGGCAACTTTAGAAAAGACATGCATGCAATGAATACTACTTTTTCTTCCTTACAGCTTCAGTTTGTAGTTAACTATTGTTCAGTTTATTGCTTCTGTAGTCACTGCTGTTAAATGTATCACATACATGTAATTTGCCATGCAGAATTCCCACATAAAGAATAAGAGGAAAACAAGACAACTTCCCTTATCCTAATTCACACAGGTAAAGAATTCTAAATAAATCTTTTCCTTAATGTAATCAATGTCTGGAGTTCTATACAGTCCTGTGGTAATAGGGAGCAAAAAACAGGAAAAGCTGTAATGATTATACATTAATATGCACTTTGAGCATTATCATAGAAAGAAGGGGTCACTGGGAAGACACTGTGTACCAGACCAAATATATACAATGGAGCCTTTTTAATAGTATCACTGCTTCCAAACTGCAAACATCCTATGCTAGATTTACTTCCTGGAGAAAACACTGCCCCCAGACAGACCTCACTTCCACCAGCACCTCTTAGGTGCAGAATACCACCACCAGTCCCAATCTACCAGTTTTCACTTGACAAAACTAGTCAAGATGACACGTTTGGACCTGACTACAAATCAGTGTGGCAAAAAAACCCTCCACACCAGTGCCGCCCCTTTAGTTCAACACAAGTGTTGTACAAAAAAGTAGACCTAAGTCCAGCCCAAACTTCATTGAGAGTTTAGCCAGCTTCACTCAGAGGTGACTTGAACCTCCAGAAGTCTAGACATTAGTCTCTGAAGTCAGCGGTTCTGACTAAAAAGAAAATTTGTTTTATTCTCAGTAACTGAAAAAGTAACTGCAGAGATTAAAAAAACAAAGTTGTTAAATTCTTAGTATAACAATTTCTGATATTTTTATATACTGTGAACTCCAAAATCCTGAAGGAATGTGTTCATTATGAGCTTATATAGTCACAGTACACAATCTGTAGCTGTTTTCTAGGATGTGTAATTCTAAAAGCATTCAGTTTAAACAGATTTAGCATTATTACTTCTTGGATCTTTACTGATATTAAAAGAAGTATATAAAATCATATGGAAAAAGCAAACAATGAATGCTCCAAAGCTATATACAATATAAATGCATGAATCTTTAAACATTAAACCACCAGCATTCTCTCACATTATATTTCAGTAGAGAGACAATGTCCTCTTCAAATAAGATACCACAATCATATTTTTAAACAGTGCAAGAGAGCAGAAAGAAAACAGCAAGGTTTGCTCTGCTCTCCAAGGACAGGTATTGACATACTTTTAAACTGAGGCAATCAAAGAGTCACGGGTATTCACTTTAAGGTACGTTTTGCAAGCCCTTTTTCAAAAATATAATCCTCTTTCAGAAGTTACCAGGTCCTTATACGCAAGTCTTTTAGGTCCTGACTCAAATACCACTGAGACTGATGGCTGTTGAACACTACCCTCAGATGGAAGCAAACAATTTTACTGAATTAGCTTAAAAAAAATTAATAAAAAAAGTAATTCTCTATTTATAAAACAATTAGAAATTTTAAAGAAAAGTTACTGTGTGAAGATCCATTAATAAATTCAATCCTTTACATCATGCACCAATGTAATCCATTTTTTGGCTTAAAATCCAACAAAAAAAAAAAAGGGTTAATTGCTGTGGAGAAGGACTCAAACATTTTCATTTATGGCTAAAAAAAAATAACATGCTCGGATAAATGAAGAAAGACAATTTCATTTAATTTAAGGCTGCCAATTACACTGCAAGATTTTGTCTTTTAGAGCCTGAAGCACAGTCCAACAGCCACCCACTTGCTATAAATCCCTTAAGCACACATTTATAAAAACTGGGAGGAAAAACTTGGGGTCCAACTCTGTTTCTTCCTATTCTGATAAGCAGTGGAAATGGAAGTGTTACTTTCTAATTTGTTTTCAGTGGTTTTCTGCTTTTTTTTTTTTTCCCTTTTCTTTTCTAGAAGTTCAGAAGACACCAATAAGAACAGCTTGATCAAAAGTTTAAGACTGACAATTACAATACAACAATTTGGTGTTTCAAAATTCCCAGAGGCTGAACTAGTTCTGGCAGTGACTTCTGGTAACCTGTTCTTCTACTAGGGCACAAACATGCACTCACACACACACACACACTTGTCAGAAAAAGAAAAAAAATAGATTAAAAATACCTCTGTGCTTAACTTGGTTTAAGCTGCTTACTGCCTGTTGACATACCACTGTTGCTTGGCCTGGGTCATATTTAGCATCTAAAACCTTCCTCTAATGAATAAGATTTCAATGCATGGTCTATTACAAGGCTGTCCTAGAGATGCAGAAGACAGGACTAGCCCAGCTCTTGCCGCTTGCACCCTGAAAGATGGAGGCCCACCTGCATCATCCATTTTCAGAAACCCTTAAAGTTAAGTTAGTACCAGACCTGCCATCAGTCAGTGATGGAAGGAGAAGCACGGGCACCTCACAAGTTGGAATGAGGGAACTGCAAACCAGGGATACTTTACCAGAGGGGTTCTTTACCTCTCATGCCAGCTGCAGCTAGCTTTAGCCCAAGCTGCAGAGAGCCAAGCGGCAGTACAGCTTTCCTACCTGTCAGCACTGAGCGCGGTGAGGGTGAAGACAGAGACACCAACAGAGGTGAGCTGGATGGCAGGGATGAGCTTGCAGCCCACCTCCCCAAAGAGCCACTCCTCGGAAAAATACCGAGAGGCATCCACAGGCACACAGGTCACTAGCAGCAGCAGATCACCAGCAGCAAGGCTGGAGATAAAAATGTTGGGCACACTCCTCATGGCGCTGTTGGAGATGAAGATCTTCATGAGGGTGATGTTGCCCAGCAAGCCCATGGTGATGATGAGCAGGTAAAGTGAAGGGATCACACAGCGGACAATAAACATGGCTGTGCCCCTGCCTTGGGACTGCAGGGCTGTGTCTGGCACCATCTGCGTGCTCCCATTGCCCCCGAGGGGCATCGCTGGGAGCTCAGGCAGCAGCTCTGTCTCCATTCTCCAAGCTTCAGGCAGACTGAGAGGTCTCCAGTGCAAAGTGCTGTGGGAGCCACGGGAAACCTTCACCTCTCTGCAAGTCAGTCAACTTTCTCCCCCTTCCCTCCTGCCTTTCTTCCTCCCCCTCTTCCTCTGCCGAGTTTTCTCCCCTCACAAATACATAGGAAGGCAGCACTGTCCGCCGGCGAAGTGCGAGGGTTAAAATTCCCGCACCGCTCCCCTTCAGCTCTTTGGAGGATCCCTCTCCCGGGTGAGCAGGAGGGAGCGATCCTGCGCCTCGGAGGCAGCCACCGCCATGCGGACAGGAGCCTGCGCGGACAGGGGCGGACAGGAGCGGACAGGAGAGCAGACGACCCAGGCGGAAAGAGGGCGGGCCCGGCGCTGTCCAGCGGCGCCGGTGCTGCTCGCCCCGCGGCTGCTGGCTGCGGAGTCGGAGCAGGGGGCGAGGCGCAGACCCAGCCTGCTGTTTACTCCGCAGCTCGGATTTATACCTGGCGCTGGGAGGAGCCGCCCCGCCTCTCCTCCGGCAACCGCTTGTGCCCTCGCCCCCAGCGCCGAGGCGGATCTTGCGCGGGGGCGACACGCGGAGGCGGGACGCGGATCTCGGCGCCGCTGCCGGCACCCCGCAGGGTCCCAGCCCTGAGCGCGGTGGGGTCGGGAGGGAGCTCTCCCCTCGCCGCTGCCCTCCGCACGCAGTCCCCCGAGAGGCGCTGTTTGGCACGCGGGAGAGCTGTCCGCCACGTGGGATCGCCTCCGGGATACCTGTCTTCCAGCATCTGACCCAGGTGAAACCACCGCGGTTTGAAGTGAAGAGTGACAGGGAGTGAGATGAAGAGATTTTACTCCTCTCATCCAGCTGTGGGCTCTGAATAGATCCTACTCAAAGACATTGGCTGCCTTTAAATTTTGACGGATTGATTTGGTAAGCTGCATTTCACATGAGTCTTGATTACAGAAATGGGGACAGCTGATGTGTTTTATCTACAACTTATTTCGCAAACAGTGTAATACAGTGGAAAATAAACAGTCTGCCTCTATGAAATGCAGCATTTGTCCCTAGTGTTTCTTGCTTTTCACTGAGGTAGTATCTCTTACTTTCTAGCGTCTGCACATGTATAGGCTTTCCAACAGCTCCCTCCGTTTCCAGCAGAAGCCATGAATGTAGGAAGCACTGCAATTATTCTGAAAGAGAAGCAGACCTACCAGATTGAAGTTCTTTTCCTCCCTCTTCTTCAGAGGGAAGATATATGAGCTTGCAGTGAATTTGCTTGTTCTTATTATTAAAACAGCTCTCTTGAGGCCCTACAGACTTATGACAAATGTATGGAGAAAGCAAATGAATGCCAAGGTCTTGCTGAAGTGGGAGAAAGAACCTGACCACTGAAATGCCAGAAATAAAGCATATCACATGTGCAGTGAAAAGTAGCCTGCCCATGACATGCTGTCCAGTGTAGGAATTAAATTTAAGACATCAGCAATTTATCTTAAATAACCTTTTACTATCAAACAGGAAATATTTATAGCTTCTTAAAAGTTACACCTCTCTGTATCTATTGATCGATCTTTGTGACTTTTCTTACTTCTCTGAATATATAAGTGTGTTAAAGTTGTGTAATATTGATTCATATAATGCTGGTGAGTTTATCAGAAACCCCAGCCAGTGCTAGTCCTCAGAAACAATGAGGCTAGAGATTTGCCACAAGGTGGCTGATGGGAATTGCCACAGAGCTCCTCTGGAAGTGGTTCTTGTTACTGATCAAGTTTCCACAGTGTTAAATCCAACTACACTCCCTCCGAGGCAGCCTTACTGCTGTCTTGGATATTTATCTAAACTGATGGGACTCTCTACTTTGCTGAGTACCTTTCCAAGACCATCAATATTCATCTTTCTGCAAACAGTCCAAGCCAGTCTTTTTGGTTCCCATTGTTTGGATCCAACACTGTGGCTCCAGGGTATGGTCCTTTCACGAATTTATTTGAAAATGGGTTTATATGTGAACAATCGATATGATTTCCATTGGGAGAATAAAGTCAAAATGCCTTTAATATTGATTTATCTGGGACAAAAGGAAGCTGAGTCTTTTTGCATGAATATCAACAAAAGAACACTTTAAAAGCTTCCACTGACATAAACTTCTTGCAGTTTGCATGGAGATAGGTAAGACCCCTGGCTTTTTGTTGCACATCACCACTCTCCTACTGCTGCCCTGCAGGAGAATTTCTTCTATACTAGTCAGTTTCACTTGTCCTTTAGTCCACAAGATGGAATTCCTAAGGTTGAGGAATTAGGAACATATTCAGTGGGAGTTTATGTTTCTGATTTTTACCAGCACTTGATTTTATCTACTTTCTATTTTCAAAACTCTGATCAGCAAGGAAATAAGCTTTGGAGACTGTGAGTGTCTCCAACTCAAAGGAAACAGAAAGTTAGATTATGCTTCTAATGCCATTCAACAGATGTCTGTGTAAAGACAAGGGAACATACTTAAACAGCATGAATATAATTTCCTGCAGAGGCAAAAAGGAGAGGGAAAGATCCATAGAACCCGAGATAAACCAGCTGGAATTCAGATTCCCATGTACAAACTGTTCATCATTCTCTTTTCAAACAAAAGAATCCACCCATTTCTTTGGATGTTATTTCAGATTACAGTCTAGACACAACCTCACCTGCAGATGTGACATAGTACTTGGCACATGAGCAATGACGAATGTCACGGGTAACTGTGGGCAGTGGGAAAGAAACTGTGCACAGGCTGAAATCGGCCCACACAGACAGAGCATATCTGGGAGTGCAACACCACAGTCCAGGCACTGCAACAACAGGGAAACGTGGGAAGCAAACCTGCTTTATCAGTAATTCCCAGACGCAGGGATGCAAAAATCAGTACGTGCAGAAGTGAGGAACTCTATGCATCTCACAAACGCCCTCTACCGAGAACTGCTTCTGAAAAGGGAAAAAGGCTTCTTCCGTGTGTGTTCAGCTCAAGGTGCTTGGTAACTCCAGGGCTACTTCCAGATTTGCACATCACAACAAACTTGGTGTAGTCCCATGAAAATCCAACCATATCTGCCACAAATACTACCTGTAATAAGTAGCCTTTAACTATATATGAGTGCTTGCAAACTAAATGAGAACTGTGCTCAAATGCAGCCTTGGTAGTGGTCATCTTTAAAGGCCTGTTCATCAGTCATGAATTAAAAAGAAATAAAGCAACAGACAAGGAGGAAATAGTATTTGAGCATCAGGAACCAAACCTTAGAGAAATTTTTGTAGTATCATGCATTAAACCAGCAGATACAGCTGGAAAAAGTGGATATACATTGCAGCAGAAAGCGACTTTTCCCAGACAGTCAAATGTACAATAATCTAAAGTAAGTCACGTCTTCCTTCTTGTTACTTGAATCCAAACTTCCTTAATTTTGTAGAGAGTTGTTTTGTTGGTTTTTGTTTGTTTGTTTGTTTGTTTTTTTGTGGCAGAGACTTCCATTACCTTTCAGCTTCTTGTGTCAGGGGCTCAATTAAAAGGACAAAGTACAGAAACATATCACTGCCCCATCATCAGGTTTCAGAACAGGTAACAAGGTTTGCTGCTGCTAGTATGTGGGTGGCTGAAAGTGGGTCCAAGAAGCAGCTGAGAAAAGTAGGCAGAGTTGGAGAAAGGAGGGGATGGAGATAAGGGCTCTCTACCTGGGTATAAACCACTCCATATTGTGGAGCCTACAAGGAGGAAAGTGTTCAGCTTCTAATGACATATCTCTAAGGCCAGACCTTAAGCTCCCAGGTTAGATACCTCAACATCAAAACTCTGACTCTTTTCTAGTAAAATAACACTGAAAGTTAATTATGGCTGCACCTGGATGAGCTCTAAGAAGCAGCTAACAATAAAAAATATGTCAGATGTTTGCCTTGCAGCCCTTTCCACCTCAAGACTCAAGGGAACAGAAGAGGTAGCTACACTCTTGGTCAGATCTGAGCTCTGTCTGACAGCAGTACTCTGTCTTTGGAGCGCTGGGCTGCAAGCAGTAGTTTATGATTTCCCGGGCCTGGAAAATCTGCAACAAACACCTGTATGGAAATTCCTCTTTGTTAAGTCTGAGTGACTGGACATGGTGACTGTACAAAAGAATGCTAGAGTGACTAATCATGCCTATTTCATAATTTTTCAAAACATGCTTTTTAGATTAAACAGATTTTGCATTAATAAAGAAATAAAAAGTCAGGAAGAAGCTTTATGTATGATACACATCTCCCCAGACTGAGTGCCATGGATGAGCACATATCCTTGTGCAACAAGCCCAGGTTCTCAACTTCCAGGCTTTGCATCCTGCTCACTACTCTTCATGCTAAACCTAAGCCAGAAGGCAGGCAGAAGGACCTGAGGAATTTATCTGCCTCCTAAGGCTCCCACCTTAGCTGAAGGTGAGACAACCCGCACTTCAGGTCCAAATTGCACTGGAGACTCCTGTGTGGTGGCCTCCAATGGGCCTAAGTTTCAACATGGGGAATTCTGCAAGCCAAAATGGAAATTCAGGTGCTTCCAGGCAAATCTGGAAAGCCTGCAGAAGAGTCTGCTCTCTGCAAAGTCTCTTTTGGCAGACAAAAACTTATCTTGCTGATACCAGTTTATTTTTCCTGCCATTTCATTTTGTGCCATTTTCATGGTGCCATTTTTTCATGACCCAAGAATAACTGGTGCCATTATATTTAACCACATTAAGAAAGCAATGAACTGGGTGCGTAACATTAGACATTCAGTTCATCCCTCTAAGCACAAGTGCATCCTTATGCATGCATTTAGTTTAAATTTGTTTAGCTCTGATTATACAGTAGGGCTTCAACTCACTAAAAGTTTAATGAGCACACTGCTGACTTGCAATCTTGAGCTGAAAGCCAGGCTTAGGACTCACTTCAAAATAAGTGTGATATCAACAGTTCCTCTCACTTGTCCATGTCAGACAACTATCAGACAGCTGCTTCTGCAGATTCAAAGCAAATAATGATTTTCTGTCAAGAAATTCCCAAGAACAGCCTGAGTTGCCTCAACAGGCTGCATTCAAAAGGACTGCACAATGCCAGCTTACTCTGTTCCCATCTCAAGTTATCCTCTTAATGTGGTGTCATGAAGCACATTATCGAACACATATGACAAAAGAAAACCAGTGCTATTTGTTCCATCTAGTGCGAAGATAATGGGCTTCCTGTGCTTCAGCTCACATGACCTATATTGAGCCACTTCAAAGAAACCAACAGTTTTATTGTGGGCCCATTCATCACATTCAGTGGGATTTGAGTGCAGACGTCCATGGGGTTCGTACTGGGTTTATCT